CTAGCAGGGTTACCAACTTTCAAAGTTCCACATTTCCCCCGATATATTGTAGCGAATTGACTTGACAGACTTAGCCTACCGAGTGTACTGCTGTTCGATATTTTTACCCTATACGAGACAGAGCACTTTTTAAAATAATCGATCCATCAAACAATGACGTCCATGTCACGTTGCTCATAAGTACTAGCATATAAGTTCCTAGAAGACGTTGCACATTTTTGTTCTTTACACATCAAGGCAACGTAAACATGAGACATCTATTGATGGTATAAAAAGAATGTTGTTGTAACGTGTCCGTAAAGTTCGTTAGTGTGGAAAACATAACAAACAGGAACGTTTGATTTTTTACTACATTGGTCCATATGTGACGTAACTCAAACGTTAAAACATGACAAAAACTTTGTGTTCTCACTAAGTCGGTTCATTTCCAACGTGTTGTTAACGTTAAAATTTAACGTTGTTGAAACATTTTTTTTCGATTTGAAATAAACTCAAAATGTGACGTCAATAATGACGTTCATGGACCGTATTGATCTGACGTTATTTAAATATTCAGTAAAACGTCGATGCATGGTTGAATTTCAACATTGTGGAAATGGCTTCAAATTATTTGTGAGTTAAGGAAACGCTACAAAGATGTCAATATGTTCTCACTAAACAGGTTCATTACCGACGTTATTTTAACGTTAAAAGTTAACGTTGTCAAAACGTTCTTACAATGTGAAATAACCTCAAAACGTGACGTCGAAAATAACGTACATGTATCGTCCAGATCCAAAGTTATAAATAAAAAAAATCCTAACCCTGCTAGGAATGTTAAGTACCCGGTTACCCAGTTACCCGGTTTTTTACACAAACCCATGAACACAGTCCTGAAATTCCACTTTGATTTGAGCCCAAGACCAAATCAGTTTTACTATTCCAAGTCCTTGGCTATTCTAATCTTCCTCATCTTTAGTTAGAATAAATTGAAAGCCCAAATCAAACTGGGGTCTAGGCCTATAGGCCGAGTCTATTGAGTCGACGCCACAGGCCGAAAAGTGATTGACGGGGAATAAGACTCTAGAATTATTTTACAATACAGAGGTTACAAAACCAGCATTTACATACAATTAATTTATTACAATAATATCTTATAAGGTAGAGCACAACGATTGCATTTATAATATCACAACATCTCCAAAATGATTCAATTTGAATTTGAATTGAACTTACCAGATTTCTCAACTTTAACTCCTGGCTCGATTACGCGATCCCTCTGAACGAAACAAACAAAGAATTCCCGGGATGTAGTTCCTCAAGTGTAGCTTAAATGCGTAATGCTTCCTGGTTTGTAGGAAACATGGTGATAATGGTGCCAACGTACTATGCTCTAAAATGTACCTTTTCTTGACATTTAATGACATGATATAGTGATATGCTAATATCTGCATTAATGTAATATATCTAATATGTTTTCAGCTAACAGTTTCAAGACCAGTAGCCTAATGGGTGGCCTTCAGACTGTTAGCTGAAAACATATTATCACGGGATGTCATCGCCTGATTTGGTCAATGTTAGGGAGCAGGTCGTTTTTACAATAAATTTCAATATTTTCACACAAAATATTTTTTTACTGAAAAACTGCTCATTCGCAGAGAAAATGTACTAGCACATGCAATGACAATGTCAATCACGCTTCTGTACGAAATTCGGCGGAAGTCTTTTATAATCTAATACGAAGTTACTAAAAAAGGCGCGAACGCCCTACACTCAAAATGATCGTTTTTCCATTATAACTTTTTAACGTAATTTAACGAAGGCTTCTAATTATTATCCAAGATAGTCTAAATACCGATTAAAATATTTCTTACTTCAAACAGATACGCCGTCTTTTATTCAATTTTTTAAAAAATAATAAAAAATAACTCTTGTCAATGTTAGGGAGCAGTCAATGTTAGGGAGCAAAATGATTTTATCAGAATATTAAAAATGTAGCAAATGGCCATTTAAAATATGTATGGCATTTATAAACTGAACAATTTTGTTTGTATGATTATTTGATACCCTTTGGGGAGGAAAGCGTTAAAATTGTAAGAAAATCATTGAAAAGGTTATTTTGCATTTTTTATTTTCAGCTAAATCCTGTTTACGTTCGTTTTAGAAATATTTAGATGCGAACCATTCCTTCTTTATTCGTTGACCTCTAACTGTAAATGAATGGATGTATCGTTATATACACTTTTTGATGATGTCATCAGTTCACAATCCTAAATTGTGGATGATAAATTATCTGAACTGATATATAGGCTTGAGAAATCTCCGACATCCTTCAGTTCTATGATTTGATATTTTCCTAGTATTAAAGTAAGAGAGTTAGTCTCGCACTTATCTTTACGACCGGGTATCACCTGATAGCTGGCACAAACGCTATGAAGGGCTCATTGCGCAGTTACATGTATGATAGTAGATTTTTACACGTATACTTCAATTTGTCAATACTCAGACAATGCAGTATATAACCGATCTCTGTTATATGTGTACCACTTGCTAATGATACTCTAAAGCCCGGTATACACCAATGGGACAAGTTGGGACCTCCATAGACTTAACATGGCGTGTGACCTAGTGGGACCTTTTGGGATTTTGCCCCATGAAGTCCGTGGGAATCAATGGGACTCCGTCGGATTTTGCCCCAACTTGCATATAATCTTGCCCCACCGAGTCCCATGAGGTCCCACGTTGGACTCGATGGGATTCGATGGGGCAGGATGGAGCAAAATCCCACGGAGTCCCATCTTGCCCCATCGAGAATGAACATGTTCATTCTTTCCATGGGGCATCGTGGGATTTCCGATCAGGTCACATGTTATGTGAAGCCCAACATACACCAATGGGGCAAGGTGGGATTTGATGGGACTCCATGGGGCTCGATGGGGCACGTTGATAAAATCATTTTGCTCCCTAACATTGACTGCTCCCTAACATTGACAAGAGTTATTTTTTATTATTTTTTAAAAAATTGAATAAAAGACGGCGTATCTGTTTGAAGTAAGAAATATTTTAATCGGTATTTAGACTATCTTGGATAATAATTAGAAGCCTTCGTTAAATTACGTTAAAAAGTTATAATGGAAAAACGATCATTTTGAGTGTAGGGCGTTCGCGCCTTTTTTAGTAACTTCGTATTAGATTATAAAAGACTTCCGCCGAATTTCGTACAGAAGCGTGATTGACATTGTCATTGCATGTGCTAGTACATTTTCTCTGCGAATGAGCAGTTTTTCAGTAAAAAAATATTTTGTGTGAAAATATTGAAATTTATTGTAAAAACGACCTGCTCCCTAACATTGACCAAATCAGGCGATGACATCCCGTGATTATATCTTTTGTAATGTTTTGAGTTTTGTCCACCGTTGTTGAGACACTATATATTCTATCATTTACTGAAACAATTTTGTTTAGAAATTAGAGATAGTGGATCTCAAAGTTCACCAAACCATTCAAGCAGGGATTTTTGTCTGGATGATAACTCCAATACCTGTTATCAGATTTAGTTGAAATTTCAAGCGTTATCTGGATAACAAGACCATGTATTTGTGTGCCAATTATACAACCAATTAATAATTAGAGAGATTAAGTTCAGGTTTACATAGATAACGTAGCTTTTATTAATAGGTAGATTAAATGTGACATTTGATTTCTTTAAAAAATAGGTTGTTTTGCTGTGCCAAATTATATACAATGTAAGGAAACAGTTGGTTTTGGATACGTATTTACAACCGATATGTTTTAAACTCTTCAATAATCGTGAAACCAAAGTACAATTATGAATAATTTACTTCTAATAGATAAAATTAAATAATACAGATATGTGTTCAAAATCAACGGACGGGCACCATTCGTAATCTTAAAATAGGCCTAGCGCTTTCATCAATTGAGCATCTTATGTATAATTTTTCTTAAATGCGTGTCTTTATTGTATAAACATATTTACAAATGTATATTGGGGCTATTTGTCGATAATATGATTATACAACAAAAAAAATCAAAAAATAAATAAACGATGAAAAACGCTCGTAACTTGGGGTAAAGTACGCGTAGACGGGCAAGCATTTCTTAATCTAGCGTATTCATTAACGTACTGTGTTCTGGCAAAGTACATCAGAAGTTTGTATTTTATTAGCCATGATTTATTTAATGTATTTATACAGGTATAATATAATGTTTTGAGACTTTAATCTAAACAATTATCGTTTTACGAAAAACGCTCGTAACATGGGGTAAAAGGAGCGTAAAAATCAATCTCGATTACATCAATTTTCTCAAAATATATTTCAATGTGGATAAATTCCTGTCAAGGAGATGTTCCTTAGACTATATTCTCAAATCTGACGAAGTTTTAGCGGAAGAATCGAGCGAGAAAGATATTAAAAATAATTTCCATCAATTTTCTGATCTCATGAAAGATAGGTCAGAATGTTACAATAAGATAGGTTGCATTTTTTCGGTGGACGGAGGAAACCGTATTCTATACGTCATTGTTTTTATGTGTGATCAGAACCATTAAATAGGGATTCAAAAACGCTTTCCATTGGTGTATACGGCTATTTCCAGCGATGTTAGGAACAATGTTTTTCAGCCACGCGCCTGATACCCCAGTCAAAAAATTTTGAAAGGTAATAACTTGCGCTTAAATCATTGTCGCTGCTCAAATTGCCGTTTACAGGTGCGTGGGGATATATTCTATAGTATCTGATTGTTAAAACTACATTTTAAAACAAAATAATTGAAATATTGCAAAAAAAGTTTTTTTCGAAAAGTGGACGGAGAAAACATGGGGTATTGTATGGAGGGACGGACGGACCAACGGACGGACGGACGCCTGGTCGATCCCATAGGCTCACTGTGTGAGCCAAAAAGCATTGGAGTAAAAAAGCGTCCATTTCTTATTGATCACCCCTCATGCACCAATCTATTTATCAGAAGACACTCATAAAATGTTCGTTACATATACTTACACGTGTTGGCAAGTTGTATTGTCTTTTCTGCCATAATTTGCATATGTGATATGCATGGTTGACCCCGGGGGTGCTAAGCAACCGACTGTGTTGTTCTTAACCTCACAGATAACATTAAAATCTGTAAACAAGTACTAATTATGTCACATGTTTACTCATTCAAAATACGTGTATAATATAGCAGGGCGGATCATGCAGCTTTAAAGAAATCTCTACGTAATTGCGAATTCCTGTTAGCAACCATTTTGAATTTTCTGAAGCACAAATCGGAATACGACAATACCATAATTGCGGTCTACTCTAAAATTCCTCCAATTTGAGTATAGCCATACTTTGAAGGGACCAGAAAACCAAAAAGGAAAAATTCCGGCGACTTTTAAAGCGACAGCCATCTTGAATAAGACGCCTCCCCCTACTAGTATTCGCGTTATCTCCCGGATGGACAAAAGGACCAACGGACTATACTAGTGGACAGACGGAGGGCTTCATTATATTCCTACCGAACTTCGTTCATTGGGCTAATTAAGGAATTTTTATAATGGTTTCTATATGGACTCAAATACAAACTAGATTTAGAACGGAAAATGTTTGTGGCATCATTTAGACACTCAACAATTTTGTGTGTTAACATTTCTAAGTCAGACTGTCAACTTGCATTCATAATATTAACTTCTTTAATGTAATTAAGTTTACACTTAACAATATTACGATTATCAATTAAATGATGATTAATGGTTATCACTTTACGATTTCGATGTATATCATGATCACTACTTTAATTTGGATACAAAGTCCACGATAATGTAACGTTAGCCAACTGTTAATTACATGTACGTTAAACACAAGATTTAAAGTTAAACAATAATAATCTATTTCTCATTATCATTATACATGTTGTCACATCTAAATCTCTGACCACTTGAGTGACTTCCTCACCCTATATAGTATATTGCATGATCATCATACTGAAGTCACCCAAAACAGTCAGCCAACACATACTTTTAATGTATACATTAATTGACAGCTTAAAACGCTTCAATATCAATGTAATGCAGAGAGTCTCTGGTGAAATTAATCTAACATAATGAGAACAATAACCAAGAAAATGTATGGGTTACATGTACGAGGGTTGTCCCAGAAGTAATGCACTATATGCTCTAACTTTCTTTAATATTCTTCAATTCAGCTGAAATTTTGTGTATATAACAATTGAAGTTTTATCTATTATATACTGAAGTTTCAGCATCCAACATTTATATTAAGTCTCAATATGGTTGCTATAACAACATGGGGGTAGGGGTGGGTGGGGCAGGTACCAATTTTTCTAATTATGAAAAGATCTAAAGTGTTATTTTATTAATATTTCTTTCCTTTAAATGGTCAAAATGTTTGGGAAATTGTTAAATTTATTCAGCATGGTGTTAACCAAGTACAAATAATGACATTTAGCACTGTGATGTCATAAAACCACATTTCAACAGTCACGAATTCAAATACAGTCACAGTCTAGAATTTGCAAAAATGGCTGCAATTCTCACCTGATAACAGAAGGCCTTGCGTTTGGTGGCCTGATTTCATACTTCACTTGGACTCACAGCCACGCAAAACAATGCTACCATGAAGAAAGTATATTAGGAGTATATACCAGATAGAACTACAATTATAGTGTGGCAGAAGAGATTTAAAAGAGACGATTTGACCCTGGATGACAACTGCAAACATAGGAGGCAAAAACTCCACAAGTCAAAGTTGAAGAAATTGCCGAGAGTGTTTGACTTGACAGGCATCAAAAGTACATAACATGCAAAGGGCAATATTTCATATTTTAAATGTGAAATGGGACATTGTACAATATACATCCATTAAATCTAGGATGTGCTCATAGTAATTTAGTATCTTAAAATGTATTTTTGAGCATACTTCTTATAGCTACACCAAATGGCATTTGTTGATTAATCATTTCATATTTTCAATTTTTTATTCCTTTTGACGTGACTGTATAACCTGCCCCGCCCTACCCAAACACACCAACTTGATTTTATTATAACATCAATATAGTTTTATCAGTCAACATGGATTTTTTTTAGAATAATCAAAATGTCTCTAAGGAACATTTACTGAAAATTTCATAGAAAAATATCAATTATTGATAAAGTTAGAGCATATAGTGCATTACTTCTGGGACAACCCTCGTATATCTCATCTTAGCTTGTCTTCGCAAATGCAACTAACGCATGTCGGCTAACGGGTATCTCATTTAAATAGTACCTCACTATGCCATTCATATCTAAATGAGTTGGTCATAAAATAGTAGGTTAATCCGGTAGCCGACAGGCGTTAGTTGCATTCGCAAATACAAGGTTAAACGTTTATGAGAATTGTGAAATAATCCACTCCTTCGTGTGATGAACCACGTTAAAGGGTCTTGTTTGTAGAACACCGCCCCACAAGAGCTAGGTATTGAGTTGATAATGTATAGTGTACAACGATTCGACAGATATTACATTGGCAGTCACTGATTGATGAATGAAGTGAACAATTCGGAAACTATTTGTCAACTGAATACAATTCATCAAAATCAATTTCAAATCGATATAATTGTGTAACAAGACTCTTTAAAGTACAAGTTTACGTATACACCTGGTTCACTCAGGTTTACGTATACGTTTTCAAAACACTTTTTATCGAAAGCTCTCTATTGTCAATGAAACCTTAGAACCTCACAAAACTAGTTGTATTCAGTGAAATAAATATAGTGATCGTGTTGATCACTAGAAAGAAAGCCTTATTTGATTTGGATTTACATAGTAAGACTTACTGCCTCTCAATGCATTTTGTCATTTTCATTGTCAGGCTGTTCTAATCTCAGCCCAGTGCAAACAAAACATATTACACATTATAGAGCCAATGATGTATTGACTTAACATGAGGATACAATTGACTTTAAACCTGCATGGTGGTATGCAGGTTTAAAGAAAATTGTCTCAACAAGTAGATTCATGTGGGGGAGTATTGGTAAAATCCATTTTCAATAGCAATAATATGGGTTATATTAAAGCTTAATTAAGGCATATTTGAAAGTTTTGGTTAGCTCTAGTAATGTTGGTCCACATACCTTATCACATTGTGGCACTTCTAAACTAACTTTTGCCACTACCTTATTACCTTGTTCACAGTGCAGCTCATTATTGAGGTCGTCGTAGAATCTTGCTATACATCCTCCGCAATAATCAGGTCGACATCGAGCAGTGGGATCTTGAGGACATATTGCTTCCGAGAAGGAACATGGATTACTGACAGTGCAATTAACAAATGGTGCCTCTGGGGGACAGTTATCCGCTGCAAGTACATCTACACCTGGAATAAGTGATCATAAGCAACATTTAGCAAATGGCACCTCTAAGAGACAATCATCAGTAACAACTACAGCTAAACCTGAAATTACTGATACTGCAACAACATTTGGCAAAATGTACTCGTGGGGACAGGTAGCAAGTACAGCTACATTTGGCATTAGTCACCATAATTAGCATTGTACTCGGGGAGAGTTATCAGCAACTACAACTATACTTGGAATTAGTGATCATGAAACAAAATTCCAAAAGTGTCAGTAACTATCATATTGTCAGTTGCGACTTGCTAACTTATCATGATTAATTGATGAAATAAGATTACTATACGCAAACTGAATCTAAACAGGATGTTACGAAACTTCACATATTCTATTAAAACATGGTTTTAGTAAAAATATAAAGTTTGCTTACCTGTAAGATAACAAATCCCCCAAAAAACTATAAGAATATTCAAAACAGACATGTTTGAGTAGTTAAAGGTGTCACTACGGTAAATTGGCACTTCCGAGAAGGGCAGTGTTGTTAATACTTTAAAACGAAGTCATACGAAAATCGATGCTGTGTATAACGATTATAAATGTATATACAATGGTTATGTAATGTGTAATGTTCGGGGAAAGTTTTGATGAATGTACCATTCTTAAAAAATCGCAGGAATATACTCCCATGAACTGGAACTACTTTATTTGTTAATTTTCATCGGTGAATAGTAATTTTTCTAAAAATGAATCCCTATATTGGCGTAATGATACTTAAAATTGAGACGCAAAACCTATGTTGAATATAATGTTAATATGGTGGTTATATAGGAGGGGAACGCGGAATCATGTCCATTATATGACCTAATTCGTTCAAAAATGGCGAAATATACCCTTGGACTTTGTCAGCCGTTGTGACACTTAATACAGCAGGAGATCCAAGACGTCATTTCCATTGTTCTTTCGGCAAAATCGCGTAGTAATCTACGGTGATCAGTCCATTTAAATTTCACGCTTTTGAACGTCATGGTGTATACATGCATTTCTAATCGATCATATCTCAGTCAATATTTATCATTATATTATAAATTTGATAATTAATGAAAGCTTATAACCAGGGCATTACGTATGTGAATTTATTATTTTGGTCAGATAAAATACCAACCAGTTACGGGTGCTAACGTTTTGACATATTTTTCATTAAAAATGCAGAAATGTGTATCATTTTCGCGGGTTAAATAGGCTATTAAAACAAGTCGGGTTAAAAAATGTTTTTCACTCATCATTTAGCCCACATCGAGCTCTTTCCAATGGTATAATTGTTTTTTTCTGAAACCCCTGAAGACAAATTTCTGCCAACTTTCTGTAACGACGAGTGAAAAATCATGGTTTTTACCGCAAACCAATGACGTCGTATTTCTCGATATTTATACCAAGATTAGATTTGATACGCGTATGATATTTGTTCACGGTCATATCTCGGTCAATATTCGTCATTGAATGATCATTCTTATAGTTAATGAAAGCTTATTACAAGGGCAATGCGCATATGGATAAGTTATTTCGACCCGATTAAATACCACCCAGCTACGGGTACAAACGTGTAAAACATTTTTTCACAGAAATTCACTGAAAATGCACAAATGTGTATCACATTCGCGCGTTAATTGGGCTATTAAATCTCGTTGAGTTAAAAAATGTTTTTCGCTCTACATTTAGCCCACATTGAGCTCTCTCCAATGGTACGATTGTTTTTTTCTGAAACCTCTGAAGACAAATTTCTGCCAACTTTCTGTAACGACGAGTGAAAAATCATGGTTTTTACCGCAAACCAATGACGACGTCGTATTTCTCGATTTTTAAACCAAGATTAGATTTGATACGCGTATGTATTTGTTCATGGCTATATATCTGTCAATATGCATTAATGATTCAGTATGAGTCTAATACAACATAAAAGAGTATCACAAGCACATCACATTGATGGACTTATTACATATGATCCGATGGAATGCAGCCAATAAAACCAGGTTACGTGTTACCGTTCTTCACGCCAAATGCGTAAATTAAATGTGACTCGTTTTAGCGCATTAATTGAAGCATGGTTGGACATCAGTAAGAATTCTTTTCCAACTTTGAACAATGAAAGTCAAAATACCCGGCTTTTAATTTTACGTTGTGAGGTCGGCGGCCGTCTCTATTTCTCGATTTGTCGAATGAGGGAATTCATTGTATAAATGGGCAATCATTGCTCGCTCTGTATTTAAATCGATTTTATATCAAGACCGGACACCGGATATCACGACGATGAATAAATATCCGAATTAAGCGCATTATTTCGAAGGCATGTTTTATTCGAAAATAATCAGCTCACGTATACATATTCATTCATAGCATAATGACCCCTGTTTAGTCTCGGATGAGCTGTGAATGCCTTCTATGCCCGGCTTCAATTCAACAATTCTGCCGACACGCTATTAAAAATCATCCAATAAAACCGCTATCAGGCTATGCAGATATAAATTTTCGAAAACACTATCTCGACAGATTGGTTTTAAAAAACATTGTACTGGTTTCAGTATTATGTTCCGAGGAGCCACTCACCTAATAGCCATAATTTGTAAATTGTGCATCCTCAGTCTGTCAGCCGCTTAGCGGATGGATCAGTGACGCTGACCGCATATTGCACCTTTTATAATTTGTAGCAGTTTGCACAAAGTCGACGTGCAACTAGTTGGTGCAAGGAGGGTTGACTCAGAGAATTTCATTTTTGGAATGTTTCGATAGGAAATAAGACCAAAATTCACGATCGGATCCAAATGTTGAAGTGAACAAATGGCGGCTGTTGGAATTCGAATTTTGAAGCACATTCCCATATATGAGACAGAATATGGATATTGCACTCTGGGAGGCAATCTTCCTTGCCCTTAGGAAAATCAATAGTACATCGACTTTATTTATTTAATAATTGAAAGGAAGTGAAGTTAACGAAATATTCGAATACAATACATACTGCCGAAAAAGCACATTTATTTCGTGGGTATTTAAAGGACCGCGAGTTGTTTGTAGAATGATTCTAGGGAGCTTGTTCATGCATTCCACTTGTGTTTTTCATCTAAAAAACATCAATACACTTTAAAACACTATGTAACAATACTTGGGTGTTAATCCATAGATAATACTTGAAAATGAGATATTTTGGGGGATTATATGGTGCAATCTTAAAGTCAATTAAATGTTTTAAAGTGTATCATTCTACAAACAACTCACGGTCCTTTACCCTACAAAACTCCCCTACCCTTCCGTGTTTTCCTGACGTTTTCACGAACCTTCCCTGTTCCACCTAACAAGACTCTTTTCCCCCATTGCTATACCCGTATACTGGTATACTGCCCATAGATCTGTGCACAGGAGTTTCACACGGAAAATGAACTTATTTTAGGAAATATTGTGGAAAAAATTATACGTAGTAAATAATTTCTCAACAATATAGGCTGACCGTTGAATGCAATTATTCATTTATTTCATTTCATCAATACTAGTACTAGTAATCATAAAATCATGACGCTGACATGGTTTTAATTCTAAAAATTAAGATAATGTGCAGTTATATAGTACCAAATAATATTCATTCATAATATGCTAGGCTATTAGGAACAAATACTCAGTAATATGTCTTTTGTGGAGATCAATTCTGAAAAAGAGGGGTGGACCCCCAGAGCTTTAGCGATGACTGACATATTAGTCTCCTGCCTACCACCTACCATGAGTCTGGGTATCGACTTAGAAAATATTGAAAATTGTAATGTCTGATAAACCAACTCAATCACACATATTATTAAACTTCAATATCTTATCCTTCTATTCTGAGATTACAAAAATATCAATTTGTATCACAATTGATGAAGAATATTGGCATCAAAGACAAATCAATGGCAAATAATAAATGAATTTTTTATACAAAAACTTTGAAACATATCCTCCAAAATATTGCGTACTTTCTTTGTATAGACATTGAATGGTATTTCTGGATAAGTGAATTGGTGTTTATCTGGGTAATCAAGGGATAATAGTCACTCAAAGTTACTGAGTATCCAGTTTTGAGACTTCAATTGTGTTAGTGAAGGACGATTCTCGGTTTGGAGAACAGTCTCTTGGGCTAATAATTTTTTATATGAAAAATATAGAAATATTACCCAAATTAAACTATGAATATTCAAAAGAGGACATTTAAATCTACAAATGTAAAAATAACAAATTGGTCTGAAGGGAAAGAAGTTCATCAGTGTACTGCGCTAATATTTTTTTGCGAAAAATCTAGAAATATTACCCAAATTAAATTATGACTATTCAAAAGAGGACATTTAAATCTATATTATGTAAAAAAAATCAAATTTGTCCAAAGCAGGGATAATGCTCATTTAGATTGATGAACTTCGTTCTCCAAACCGAGAATCGTCCTTTACACATATTTCAGTCAAATTCATGCTATGCACAACATTTTGGTTTCAATATTATAATCTCTATACATGACCCTGGTGATGAAGATTCAGAATCAGTCAAAAAAACCTAAACCGGAAAACTGTGCTCATTGTGCAAAACTAAAAGTGAAGCAACTTTTTTTCTGATATTTCTTACATCAAATGGCAGCCATCTTGTTTTTCCCCCTTCAAATTAAACTGGCGGGAAATTCAAAAAATTGAAAAAAAATTTAATCCTAAAATACATTTCAAAAATATGATTTTCTTTTTAATTCTTCATGGGTCTTAAGTTATTTCTCCTTTGTATGTCATACATGTTGCCATTGGTGTTTTTTCTATGATAATGACCCTCTTTATTTGTTCAGATACTTATTCTGACTCTCAGCAGGGGGTTAATTTTGCATCAAAACTCGTGAAAAAGTAAATATACTTATCAAATATAACTAGGACAGTAATAAAAACCATATTTCACATACATTTGACTGAGGGACCAAAAGGGCATATATCCGGACACATCCTTCTCACGAGTTAGTTTTCTAATATTACACGTCGTCGTGATGTTTTAATGGATGTAAGCATATTCATTACACTTTTCTTTATCTTGATGTGAAAATCCAAGCTATGATGTTATTAGAAAATTTGAATCCGCCATTTTTGTTTATCGATTTGGACCAATCAGAGGTGTACCAACTGTACGTCATCTCAATACATGTTTACATTATAAATGTAGTCATCTTTGAACTCTGAGGTTAATCCCCCCCCCCGATTCTGAAATATCTATGAATGAATACTCAGTAAACATGTGTATGGTAATATTTCTCAAATGTAAAGATTCTCTTCTATGTTCTCTCAATGACAAATAATGATTTAGACATTCTTATCAGAAGCTTATTCCATGGCTCAAAGGTTCAAACTAACAATTATGCTATTAGACAGTGTTGTGTATGTAGTACAGTATCACAGCAGTGTAGTATAGCAGACAGCTCCAAGAGATACCTCAATCT